CGAGCTTCCATGTGCAGACAGCTACGAACTAGAGCTCTGGCCTGGCCCGTAGTGAACTGTTCAAGAAAGTAGAGCCTGTCCCGACTGTTGCTCGTCTTGTCTTCAATCAGGAATTTAAAAGCATGAATGAAAGACTGGTAGGACAATGGATCTCCATCAAAAACTGGTACTTCTCTCTTAGGCAGTAGAGAATGATTTTGCTGTATAATCATAAGATCAGTCATTTCCTTTTGCCTTTGTACAATTAAGCTTAAGCCTTTGTGTGAGCCGTTACTAACCTCCATCTGTGGACTTGAACTTGTGGCTGCTTGAGAGTCTCTTTGCACGTGACTGACAACTCTCTGGAGTGGAGTCTTAGGTATTGTGGTCATAGGAACGAATTCTAATGCAGAGGTATCTGTAAAAGTAGGTTCGACATTATCTTCTTTGTTTGCATCATAATAGTCGTTCATATCATCGGCTCCTGATTCAGCATCAATTGTCAGCACTTTGATCTTTGCATCTGCTGCTGCGATTTGCGTTTGCAGTTCTGCCCTTTCAATCTTTGATTTAATAATGGCTTCTTCCATCTGTAAAGCTTGTATATCTGGCAGAGTTTTGGCGCGTGCCTCTAAAGCAGCCTTTTCAGCAGCAGCTATTTTAGCTGCGGAAGAGGCCTTAGATGAGGTTGATCTTACAGACACACTACTGATGTTTGATATACTATCTTTTGGTTGGACTGTTGTAAGTTGATCTGATTTTTCTTTCTGCCACATTTCAACTTCTTTAATAAAGCAATCGAAATCCATCATTTTAGGTTCAAACCAGTTTGCATGATCATTTTTCTTCTCTTCCTCTGCTAAAAGGTCTTGTACTGCATTGTGCACATTTTTGAAGTCATGAATGAAAAACAATAATATCGCCATGCAATCATCCACTTGTTCAACACTTCCACCTTTATCAAGTAGCGCTTTAATTTCGTTCATTTTTCTCGTGCATACTCCCAATTTACCTCTGCGCGTTGCGATGCGTGAATTTAAAAGCCTTTCAGCCTCCGCGGCCGTGTGAGTCTCTTCGTCCGTCATTTTATATAAGCCACAATAAACGAGTAGCTTTCTTTAGCGTTTAAACACACATTTCCAAACTCTGACAATTATTTCGTCTGTTTGTTTATGCTATTCAAGCATTCGTTCAATCTCGCATTCAGTGATCAGTTGTATTGTTTGCATTTGTCGTACTCACAGCTGACGCGTTGTTCATTCATAGAATTGCGCTCTTTTCCTGGCCGTGAACAGCAGTTTCCAATCCTTTGAGAAGAAAGTTCATTGTACAATCCTTTGTGTCTTGTCGATCGATCTTAAGTGCAAGTTTCTTCAATAAATATAGAGGCTAATACCTAATGTCTTAATTCTTTTAGCCTCTCGAGGTTAGATGAGGAGTATCTTCTTATCTACATGTCCATTAAGCACGCACGGAGAAGCGGTCATAACAACAAAAACAACGTATTTATTGATCGCAATCTCTGGTTTACTTTCCAAACAAAAAACAAAAATTGGCATCCAAGAAAAACACTATCAGTAACATGCATTTCATGCGATTGAAGAAACTGTTGCTCTCCAAACTCTAACCTGTCTGTGCCAAACAATCCTACCTCATTATCAACACCTGCACTCACGCATCGTAGTGACGCGTCAAAGGGGGAGGAGTCAATAAATGTGCTTAACCAGGTTAGTACAAGTATTAAAAATTAAACAAAATTCCCTTGTACATTTAAAGCATAATATTATGTATTACAAAATAAATAAATCAAATTTAATCATTACTTAATTATAATTCTGGTAGTACACAACATTCTGAATATGGCTCCAACAGCACATGTCTTATACGCACATTCCAAAACTTTGCTGAAAAACCTGTTACACACAATCTACTACAGTCCTTCTGTTGTCTGAATGATTTAGACTTTATTAGCAAGTAAAAATCTTTACTGAACAGAATAATAACTGATATTTCAAGATAAACTATTACTGGACTGAAGTGACTGAGGTTTACTTGATTATCCATATATAATTAATTAATAAAATCATGAGTATCAAATCTGATCATCAGGCTTTTGAGGAAGGTTTATTTGTTCATCTCTCAATCATCATTTGTATTGTATTACATTATATGTTTTAAAACTACAGAGCTTTGATTATAAAACTAAGCATCGTACGAAGACATATTATTATATATTATTGGCAGATATAGAGTAATGACTGATATATAATTTTATGTAAGTATCTGCTATACTGTTATAAAGATCTCATTGATTTACATTACAAGCATCAGAATTTCATCTTCCTTTATGTCCACATAAATATCAGCAACTGCACCAAATTGAACATTTTGATAACACTATTTTGATAGTCCACTATAGCTTGCCATCTAACTCTCATTACAGTATTAATAGACTGTTAGGATAAGGTTCGGGTTAGAACAAGTTGACAAGTCATGTTATTTCAAAATTATTTTTATATTCCACAGAAGCAAGCAAGTCAACAAGTTTGGAACAATGACAACAATGACCTATTATTCTTTTTTTACAAGATGTAATATAAAGTCTCTGTAAGTCTCTGGTGTTCCTAGAATGTGTGTGTGAAGTTTCAGCTCCAGATACCCCACAGATCATGTATTATACCATACCCAAATTGTCCCTTTTTGGGTGGAAGCAAAAAAACAATGTTTTTTTTGTGCATGTCTCTTTAAATGCAAATGAGCTGCTGCTCCCCGCCCTCTTTTCCAGAAGAGGGCGGAGCCTTTACACTGCTTTACATTATTTTCTATGTAAACGCGCTTGTGTTTTTTCTTCTTTTTCTGGACTATTCACACACAACGTGACTCTGCATCTAAAACTGTGAGACGTGGGCAGTGGAAATACACAAGTTAAACTTATTTCAACTAGAGCGCTACGTTTTTATAACCGTCTCCTGCGTGAGACGCTGGAAAAACACGCGAGACACGAGCGCAGCGGTCAAACACGTCCGTCTAGAGCGTTTATAGAGAAAACCAATGGAAAATATTGCAGTGGAACAGAAAAACACACAACAACAGAATATTTAGATAGCGGAGACATTTAGTATTACGTAGCGGAGACATTCTCGTGTTTCCACAAGCTGCTCTAAACATGGCGGACTGTGTACGGCTCACACAGGGGAGGGGCTAAGCTAACAGAGTCGTGGGCGGGGCCTGTTACACTGTGATGTCACAATGTATAGAAACTCATTTTGAGACACTGTTTATGGGGATTAAAAAAAAGAGGAGAGAATGTTTTCTACCATTATAAGGTGCACTCTAAAAAATCTTGGGTTATTTTTTCAACCCGAGTCTTTTGGGTAGTTTGTTGGGGTTATTTTTTCAGTATTTGGGTAGTTTTGTGTTACCCAGACGTAACAACCCAGGGATTGAGTTATTTCTGTGTGGGTGTGGTGTGTGGGCCGGAGGGTGTGGTGTGTGGGCCGGAGGGTGTGGTGTGTGGGCCGGAGGGTGTGGTGTGTGGGCCGCAGGGTGTGGTGTGGGCCGGAGGGTGTGGTGTGTGGGCCGGAGGGTGTGGTGTGTGAGCTGGAGGGTGTGGTGTGTGGGCCGGAGGGTGTGGTGTGTGGGCCGGAGGGTGTGGTGTGGGCCGGAGGGTGTGGTGTGTGGGCCGGAGGGTGTGGTGTGTGGGCCGGAGGGTGTGGTGCGTGGGCCGGAGGGTGTGGTGTGGGCCGGAGGGTGTGGTGTGTGGGCCGGAGGGTGTGGTGTGGGCCGGAGGGTGTGGTGTGTGGGCCGGAGGGTGTGGTGTGGGCCGGAGGGTGTGGTGTGTGGGCCGGAGGGTGTGGTGTGGGCCGGAGGGTGTGGTGTGGGCCGGAGGGTGTGGTGTGGGCCGGAGGGTGTGGTGCGTGGGCCGGAGGGTGTGGTGTGGGCCGGAGGGTGTGGTGTGGGCCGGAGGGTGTGGTGTGTGGGCCGGAGGGTGTGGTGTGTGGGCCGGAGGGTGTGGTGTGGGCCGGAGGGTGTGGTGTGGGCCGGAGGGTGTGGTGTGGGCCGGAGGGTGTGGTGCGTGGGCCGGAGGGTGTGGTGTGGGCCGGAGGGTGTGGTGTGGGCCGGAGGGTGTGGTGTGTGGGCCGGAGGGTGTGGTGTGTGGGCCGAAGGGTGTGGTGTGTGAGCCGGAGGGTGTGGTGTGTGGGCCGGAGGGTGTGGTGTGGGCCGGAGGGTGTGGTGTGTGGGCCGGAGGGTGTGGTGTGGGCCGGAGGGTGTGGTGTGGGCCGGAGGGTGTGGTGTGGGCCGGAGGGTGTGGTGCGTGGGCCGGAGGGTGTGGTGTGGGCCGGAGGGTGTGGTGTGTGGGCCGGAGGGTGTGGTGTGTGAGCCGGAGGGTGTGGTGTGGGCCGGAGGGTGTGGTGTGTGGGCCGGAGGGTGTGGTGTGGGCCGGAGGGTGTGGTGTGGGCCGGAGGGTGTGGTGTGGGCCGGAGGGTGTGGTGCGTGGGCCGGAGGGTGTGGTGTGTGGGCCGGAGGGTGTGGTGTGTGGGCCGGAGGGTGTGGTGTGGGCCGGAGGGTGTGGTGTGTGCCGGAGGGTGTGGTGTGGGCCGGAGGATGTGGTGTGTGGGCCGGAGGGTGTGGTGTGTGGGCCGGAGGGTGTGGTGTGTGGGCCGGAGGGTGTGGTGCGTGGGCTGGAGGGTGTGGTGTGGGCCAGAGGTGTGGTGTGTGGGCCGGAGGGTGTGGTGTGTGGGCCGGAGGGTGTGGTGTGTGGGCCGGAGGGTGTGGTGCGTGGGCTGGAGGGTGTGGTGTGGGCCAGAGGTGTGGTGTGTGGGCCGGAGGGTGTGGTGTGTGGGCCGGAGGGTGTGGTGCGTGGGCTGGAGGGTGTGGTGTGGGCCAGAGGTGTGGTGTGTGGGCCGGAGGGTGTGGTGTGTGGGCCGGAGGGTGTGGTGTGTGGGCCGGAGGGTGTGGTGTGTGGGCCGGGGGGTGTGGTGTGGGCCGGAGGGTGTGGTGTGTGGGCCGGCTCCTCTCACCGGACAGGCTGCTCCAGGTGCGGTTGATGTCCCGCAGCGCCTGCTTCTCTGCGATGGCCCGCTTGATCTCGTCCAGCACCAGGTTCAGCTCTTTGGAGCGCTTGAGGTTCTCCTGCTCGGCGGAGTGAAGACGGTCTCTCAGAGCCAGGAATTCCCGCTGGTAAATGTCCACCACATTACCTGCAAACACACGACACAGAACAGCGCTGAATAATGCAGGTTTAGCCTTTTCTCAACACACTTCATCATTTATTATGACAGCATTCAATTATCCAGTCAAAAGAACCTTTATGTTATGCACCAATAAACAAAAGGTAATAATTCAACAGAAGATATGAGTATGTTTCTCACAGGCCGACGTTTATAGCGGCTGTTTTTCAGACGGTAATGAGGAGGACAAGTGTAAGAAATCAGGGATATTTTGAGTCTCTTGTTTTCTGGCCTTTAAAGGGCTGAAGCTGCACTCGTTCACTCTTCTTCGACGGGGAGAGCTGAACTGGTGTCGTGTAACCAGCCAGTCGTCCGTGACATTTAAACAAGTGTTTTAGTGAGGCCGTTTCCTCCATGTCTGGGGTCATGACCTTCCCGAGCGGGTCGATGCTCTGACCCCAGAGGTCAACACATGCGAGCTGAGTCGAGGGTTGTGTCTCTGAGCATGACGGTGCAAGACTATACACACAAAAGATACACTTAAAGAAATCAAAAGTAATGTTTATAGGTCACAAGCACTCGCCTTCGGATGATTTCTCTCGCTCTGTGTTTTGAATGACACTGCTATGACCAGTGTCCAGGACGACATGATTATGATAATAACAATAGATAAACAAATACTACTACTAATCCGTTAAATACTACTACTACTACTGATAATAATACTTATTGTTATTATTATATTTCAAGAATTATTTAATAAATAATTTATACAAATATTTAAAATAAATAAATAATTTATCCGAATATTTAGAATAAATGTATTTATTTAACATATTTGAAATAAATATTAATTAAATATGTTGATAGATTAATTTACTATTTATTTCAAATATGTTAATAAATAAATGTATTTATTCTAAATAATCTGATAAATATATGTATTATTTATTTTAAATATGTTGATAAATTATTTAATATTTATTTGAAATGTTCATATAACTTACTTAATATTTATTTGAAATATGTTGATAGATTAATTTACCTTGAACATTTCAAATAAATATTAAATAATTTATATGAACATTTCAAATAAATATTAAATAATTTATCAACATATTTAAAATAAATAATAAATATATTTATCAGAATATTTAAAAACTTTAAATAAAATAATTTATCAACAAATTTAAAATTCATAAATTGCTTTTTTATCAAAATATGTAAAATAAATAAATAAATTATCAGAATATTTAAAATAAATAATTTATTTATTAACACATTTAAAATAAATCATAAATAGTTTATTTATCAACATATTTAAAGTAAATACATAACTTTTGATAACATAGCTAGAATAAATAATAAATAATTTATCAAAATATTCAAAAATACATATTTTGTTGGCTGAATGACGCGTGTGAAGTGTGGCACTGAGGTATTCTTTGTGACACTGACACATTATAACTGAATTTACAGTTAGAAAAGCACAAAATCTCTCAGTGAACGAACAGTTAAAGCTGAAGTGTGTAACACTGCCATCACCAAAGAGAACACATGAATAATACATGAACTATTTTATCCTTACAGCCTCTCATTGGCCAGTCTAGCAAATATTCACGGCCCTAAACTCGTGCTATTGGTTGAGCCAGTGTTGACTGGTCCGAGCGCTTCGAAAG